AAGGGAAAAAATGAGAACCAAGACCTGGCATTTAAAGGTACAAGATCCCAGTAATGAATGCAACTGTACTGTCTACCTAGAATGTACCAATAAATTAAATTTTTAAAAAAAGAAAGGAAAGGGCTTGAAGATCTGTGATAACCAGCACTAAGAACTTTCTAGCAGAGGAATTAGATTTTGAGGACCATTGGGGTGGGAGGCAAGGGTCTTGGCACTAGACATATTGAGGGATAATCGTCAAGCATATAGGATCTTAATTTAGGTCACCAGAGTCAAATCCTAGATCTATGATTTACTATCTCTATAAAGATGAGCTATGACTCAGTTTACTGATTTGTGAAATAAGGATATCTTCTCCTCCTTTTTTTAGGGAAGTTAAGTGAAATATCACATGAAACCTGCTTAGAATCATCCTTGGCACACGATAACAACTCAATACATGTCAGCTGTTACTACAAGAAGAGATGACATCTAATCATTTTTGTTTGTTTGTTCATTGTCAAATTGCTTCTTGACAAAGTACTCCATTACCCCCTGACTGACTGCCATGTTCTCTTCTTTAGTCACCTCCTACATGCTATCAAGGAAATGACAAATGCATTAACTGAACTAGCTATTGGGATTGTGACACTAGAAAGTCCTCAGTCCAGTCTAGCTCACAGCTTTTACAAATGAACACACTGAAGCCCAGAGAAGTTGCCTTCTTTAAACTAAACTTCCACATGTAATTGGGGTGATGGCAATATTAGACTTTGGGTCTCTACATTCTTTGCCCAAGCACTGGGCTGAAGAAGTCTGCAAAGTGGAAGATTAACCCCTCCTCTCATCTGGCTCACGTTTGACCCCACCAAGGGGAATGAATAAGTAACACTGCTCTTCCTAGGTGGGGGGCCCCACCTGGCTGTCAGATGTCTATTTTTAGCCTCTATAGATGGCCTGCTGCCTGCAGATTCACTCAAGCTAACAGACTGCTGTGGGGTTGAAGGCACTTTCCATGATGTTGCTTGATGGTTGCCATGCCAACAGAATTTAATAGAAACAGAGTTTTCTAGTAGATTATTCTGGCGGAGGCTTTAAAACCAGATTACAGCTATGATTCTGAAGCCTAAATGATGCATAGGATTTGTACTGGCACATGGTAGGCATGCCATAATACTTGGAGAAAGACAGAATGAATACATGGATTCAGTTTGTTGCATCAGGAACTTGGGAGACAGCAGTAATGGAGAGTCGATCTGCTAATTAAAGTCAATACTTGAGGTCGCTGTGGAGCAAGTTCATTGGCACCATCCTCAGGAAGTGCCACAGCCTGGATTTTCAGTTACCTGGTACTCTGTGTGTGTAGTGATTTGTCAGACTCCAAAAGTCTGTTCATGATCTTGAGGCTGCTTATTAATCCTGTGACCCAGGGGGTTGACTGCGCACAGATGTTTGCCAGCATGGCTGCAAATGAGAACCAAAGCTCTCCCTCACCTCAGGGGATGTTAAAAAGATTTAATGAAATACTAAAAATGCTTAGGGAGAGTAAGGCAGGAGGATCACATGTTCAAGACCAGTCCTGGCAACTTGGTGACTTAGTAAGGCCCTGTTTCAAAATAAAAATGAATAAAAATAAGAAGGGCTGGTTATGTACGAAGCTTGGTGCAAAAGCCCTGGGTGGGTTCAACTTTCAGTACTACAAAACAAAAATAAGTAACAAACAAAACACAAAACTGCTTAGCATCGTGCCCAGCCCAGAGAAACATAATGATCATGGGGACATAGCTGTTCTGTTGGGAGACGATATATGAAGAAGTACCACGTAAACCAGTGATTCTCCAACTTTAGGTGTTATTGGAATCACTCCAGGGACTTGTTAAACTCCAGGTGGCAGGGACTCACCTCTAGGTTCCTGATTCAGTGGCACTTCGATGAGCCTATAATAGTAATTTCTAACAAGTTATCGGGTGACACTAATGCTGCCAGGGAACAAGGGCGAGGAGCTGGGTGTAAGTGAGACATGGAGAACCACACTGGTGCAACCCAAAAGGTCCTGAATGTCTGTGGATCAAAGCTGAATCTCCCACAATGCACATATTTTCATGGAGGACATACCCCAGTAAACTGTCTCTCTCGATGTTTGTGTATTAGTTTTCTTTATGGTTTCTCATTTTTACAGATGTGTAGGACCCTCTCTTATCAAGGCTTTAAATCCTATAGTCAGGATTTGTATCAGCTGTCTGCCAAGCGGGGGCTCTTAATTGCATGGATGATGATTCATTTGATAAAAAATTTAAAAATTAAAAACCCCAAACTAAACAACAACAACAAAACCAATTAAGATAATTATTGAGCCACTTACAATTCAATAAAATCAGTTGAAATGAGTAATAGCCGCTAAGGACAGACTCCCCAAGGAGTTAAAATGACAAGAAAACCCAACAGTTCTGATACTTTTTGTCTTGGTTTCCTATTTCAGGAGTTGGACCAGGATTATCTCAAAGCTGGTGTAAAACAAAACAAAAATGAACAAGCTGAGACATAAGAGATTGTCCGAAGGGAAGAAATGACTCTTTAGGATGAGAAATCTCCATTTATCTGGGGAAAGGGGCATCCCCTCAGAGAGGAGGGTGCAGGTGGGAGTTCTGGTTGCAAATTGTTTATCCGTAACTGGTAAACTTTATTAGTTCTAGTTCTGAAGCCTGTCAACGGAGCTTCAAGACCCTCTGTTTGGACACTGCCTGGACTCGGTTAGTTATTTGGGGACATTCGTGCCCTGACCCTTAAGATGATGAAGTCTTTATACAAAAATACTGGACATTCCTGCCAGCAGCTTGTCAAGAAGACGGTCTGCCCTGCTTCATCCTCATCCACACTTTCTCGGTTCCCCGTGAAGCTTGCCAGGGCCTGCAGGAAGCGCGGCGCTCGCGGAGCTCGCTCGTGTCTTCCCCGGCCTCCCCCGGGACAGATCGCAGCATCTCTGCGTGATGTCAGAGGAATCCTGAGCCGGATCCTGCGCTTTGGCTGGCTGGCTGGGGCAGGGCGGGCGGCCTCTCGCCACCCGGGCTGAGTCAGGGCG